TCCGCTAAATTTCCCAAGTGAAATGTCCTTGTTGTAACTGTTATATTCCTCCAACAAACACATATTTTCCGCTGGGGTAAACTGCACTGAGCGGTTGAATGCGCTCACTCGATCCGCCATGTTTTTTGTTTTGAAAAGTGTCTTATTTTACCCAGAATGCATTGCAGTGTAGTCCTACTTGAGATAGTCAGAGTCTTGAGTGCTTTGTGCAACGGTCTGATTTAGAAGGGAACGCAAATGTTTATTTATTTCCCCTCCCATCTCGTATATCTCTTTAGATATGAGAACTATGAGAAAGGGTTTAACTGCCTATGATGGTTTGGATGTAACACCACACCCTGAATGGTTAGAAGAAGAAGTGTAGTGGACATCATCATGCTTCACAGGGTTAAAACGAAAAGGCTCGCTTTGTCTTTGCTCCATGTTAACCCACGATTCATTTTAAGAGGCATTAGCTAAACAAACACCGCTGCCTTTCACGCAATATATGCCATTACCCATCATATATTGTGACCTCGTTCAGGTGATCTCACACCATTTTTTGGTGTGCGATTGCCGTGTTGGTATATGCCTAAACGAACCGAACTAAAGGAGAAAACGCTCCAAATGAGTAATTTAGATGTTTGATGTGTGTTTATCTCCTGTGTGCAGACGATGGGCAGTCCTGATCTGAAGGTGATCGTTTATGAGCTACTGAGCACCGTCGAGGAGCTGTACGAGCAGAACGACTTCCACGGGTCCTCAGAGAGATTCTTCAGCCTGGTGGAGAAGTGCGCTGAGAAACGTCCCGTGAGTTCATCTCTCTACCTCTCTCTCTCTCTCTCTCCCTCTACATCTGTCCTCTTCTGACGCCGTCTGGTTCGATTGACTGTCGGTGACTCTTCTCTGGCAGGACGCGTCCGTGTTGACGCTGATTTCCTACAGAGCTCAGTCCATCCAGCCGGCCAAAGACGGGTGGCTGCAGAACCTCCTGAAACTCATGGAGAAGTTCTTCAGGTCTGGAAACTTCTTCAAGTCAACGTTTATTTATTTACATAGCGCTTTAGACAACACAGATCGTTTCAGAGCAGCTTCACGGGGAATAAAACGGGAAAATTACAGTGTCAATGTTGTAAAATTCATTTGAATTTAAGCTCTTCTCTACAGAAGTAAATAGTGTAATTCAGCATTTAAACAAATCCCCAAGAACTCTCTCTCTCTCTCTCTCTCTCTCTCTCTCTCTCTCTCTCTCTCTCTCTCTCTCTCTCTCTCTCTCTCTCTCTCTCTCTCTCTCTCTCTCTCTCTCTCTCTCTCTCTCTCTCTCAGGAATGAGAGCCGTACTATGATCAGGATCAAGGTTCTGCACATCCTGTCCTTCGTGCTCAGCACAAACCGACAGCTCTATGAAGTCAGTCCTCAACCACACACACGGATCTCTCCATGCGTTCGTGAGATCCGCATTATTCTTGAACATCTGTGCTCTCTCTCTCTCTCTCTCTCTCTCTCTCTCGGACAGGAGGAGCTGATCGAGGTGGTGGTGATTCCTCAGCTGGGTCAGATCGCTGAAGATCGAGACCTGTCCGTCAGGAAGCAAGCCACGCAGCTGCTGGTGGATCTCGCCGAGGGCTGTAACACGCATCACTTCAGCAGCCTGCTCGACATCATAGAGAAGGTGCTCGCTGATGATGATGATGATGACGTCACTAACGGAACTTCATGCATTCCGTTTTTCTCCTGTTTGAAATTTAAATTAAAAAATTTCATTTTTTTTTTTAAATGTGCACACGGTGGAAGTGTTCTTTTTCAGGTCATTTAAATAAACCAAATCGTTCAAAGCACTAGCATGTCTAAATTAATATGAGGTTATTAAATGTGATAATTCTCAAGAATTAAATTAGACTTACGTAAAATAATTAATTTGTTTTCAATCATTTAAATGTATTACATTTAAATTTAGAATTTTAAAATTGCCTATTAAATTTAACATTAGTATATATTTATTTAACTGTATTAATACATTTATATTACGTTTAAATTAGTAGTTTTAAAACACTAGCATGTTTGCAACTATTAAAAGGAACAAATTATTCAGTCACATGATTTTTTTAAAGCTAGGAAGTCTTCTTACCGCACAATCACCAGTGAGCGTGTATAGATTTTTTTTTTCATTCATGTTTCGGAAATTTTATTAGCATTTTGTTGATTCTATTTATTTTATTTTATGTAGCATCTCAGAATTGGCACAGCAATATGTGGATGAAGCTCAACTCTCCTGTGCTCCTGTAGGTTGCCAGCCGTCCATTATCATGCTCTGTGGAGGGAGAACGAGAGCTGTGTCTGGAGTCGCCCATGGAGGACGTCCGAACCGCCATACTGGGTCTGCTAGACATACTGCAGGTACAGCAACACCTCGTCGCTCTCTCAGAGCGATCATGAATATTCTCCATAGCAGCTCCAGTGACTGTGTATCTATGCTTCTCTAGAGTAAACTGTACAGTCTGCCCGCCAGTCACGCCAGTCGAGTGTTCGAGCTGCTGATTGCTCATCTGCAGCTTCACTATAAGAACAAATACTGCAGTGCCATCGGAAGCTCCATACGGCTAAAGGTCAGAGTTAATAAAGCAGCACCATAGCTAATAACTAACATAGCTAATAACTAGCATAGCTAATAACTAACATGGCTAATAACTAACATAGCTAATAACTAGCATAGCTAATAACTAACATAGCTAATAACTAACATAGCTAATAACTAACATAGCTAATAACTAACATAGCTAATAACTAACATAGCTAATAACTAACATAGCTAATAACTAACAACTCATAGAAACACCTCGACTTCAGATAAGGTAAAGTCTTGTTTTCTCTCATTGTTTCTGTGTCAGGTCTTTGATTTCTTATTGCTGATGAGGGCGGACTCTCTTCATCGCCTGGGCGTTCCCAATAAAGATGGAGTCCTGAGATTCAGCCCATATTGTCACTGTGACGTGGGGTAAGGACACAAACACGTGACATAAAAAACCCCGATTAAATCCAAATGAAGTATACATTTAAATGTATTAAAATAAATGAAGTATAAATTATTAAGGAGCATATTCTAATATCATTCATTTTAAATAAAGTATTAACTTGTTTAATTGTATTATTAAAATTAAACTAAGTATACATGATTAAGGAGGGACATTCAGGTTGATGAAATCTCTCCTCAAACGTCTGGTTTTCAGTGAGTCGGAGAAGAGGGTGTCGGATAAGAAGCCGGCGGGAACGGTGTCTCCCCCGTCAGGGAGTCCTACTCCAGCGGCTCCGCCCTCATCCATCCGCACCGCATATCTGCCCTACAACCTGGCCTTCAACGTGCTGCTGCAGTGCCTGAAGATGGTACACACACACACACACACACACACATACAGCGGAGATATTCCACCACAAAATACAGTTTTAATACTATTGCAACATATTTTTTGGTGAAAAAAAGTAGCACTTGAATGTAAGTTGCACCTGGTAAAAATTGCACAGATAAGTCACATTATATTAAACGCACTAAATAAAACATGTACACTCACCTAAAGGATTATTAGGAACACCATACTAATACTTTTGTGTTTGACCCCCTTTCGCCTTCAGAAGTGCCTTAATTCTACGTGGCATTGATTCAACAAGGTGCTGAAAGCATTCTTTAGAAATGTTGGCCCATATTGATAGGATAGCATCTTGCAGTTGATGGAGATTTGTGGGATGCACATCCAGGGCACGAAGCTCCCATTCCACCACATCCCAAAGATGCTCTATTGGGTTGAGATCTGGTGACTGTGGGGGCCATTTTAGTACAGTGAACTCATTGTCATGTTCAAGAAACCAATTTGAAATGATTCGAGCTTTGTGACATGGTGCATTATCCTGCTGGAAGTAGCCATCAGAGGATGGGTACATGGTGGCCATAAAGGGATGGACATGGTCAGAAACAATGCTCAGGTAGGCCGTGGCATTTAAACAATGCCTAATTGGCACTAAGGGGCCTAAAGTGTGCCAAAAAAAACATCCCCCACACCATTACACCACCACCACCAGCCTGCACAGTGGTAACAAGGCATGATGGATCCATGTTCTCATTCTGTTTACGCCAAATTCTGACTCTACCATCTGAATGTCTCAACAGAAATCAAGACTATCAGACCAGGCAACATTTTTCCAGTCTTCCAATTTTGGTGAGCTCTTGCAAATTGTAGCCTCTTTTTCCTATTTGTAGTGGAGATGAGTGGTACCCGGTGGGGTCTTCTGCTGTTGTAGCCCATCCGCCTCAAGGTTGTGTGTGTTGTGGCTTCACAAATGCTTTGCTGCATACCTCGGTTGTAACGAGTGGTTATTTCAGTCAAAGTTGCTCTTCTATCAGCTTGAATCAGTCGGCCCATTCTCCTCTGACCTCTAGCATCAACAAGGCATTTTCCCCCACAGGACTGCCGCATACTGGATGTTTTTCCCTTTTCACACCATTCTTTGTAAACCCTAGAAATGGTTGTGCGTGAAAATCCCAGTAACTGAGCAGATTGTGAAATACTCAGACCGGCCCGTCTGGCACCAACAACCATGACACGCTCAAAATCACCTTTCTTTCCCATTCTGACATTCAGTTTGGAGTTCAGGAGATTGTCTTGACCAGGACCACACCCCTAAATGCATTGAAGCAACTGCCATGTGATTGGTTGATTAGATAATTGCATTAATGAGAAATTGAACAGGTGTTCCTAATAATCCTTTAGGTGAGTGTATGTGAATGTATATTCACATTTTGCATGCTATACCATCATAAACAGCACTTTGTTAGTGCCGATCATGTGTTGTTTGGCGTGTAGGAGACTGACTGGAAGGTCCTGAAGCTGGTTCTGGATAAGATGTCGTGCACAATCCAGTATAAAGTGCTGATATTGTCGTCTCCGTGCAGCATCGATCATCTCTGCTCCACCCTATGTTCCATGGTACCGTACACACGCTTACAAAACATAAACACCTACAGTGACTAAATGTGATGAACCGTATGGGAACTAGCTGATTTGAGAGAGTGTGTTTGTTTGCAGGTCACGGACCGGCTAATATCGGAGCGTTTAAAGAAAACTCCCGATGGATTCTCCCTCACGGATGTTCAGCTGGCTGTGGTTCCTGTCCTCACTGCCCTCACCTCCTACCACAGCCACCTAGAACAGTCCCGACAGGTGACACACACACACACACACCATATACAGTACAGAAGTTTATAGTTCGGATATAAACACTGATCTCTACGTAACAATCAAAATAGAGCAAATCACCTTTGTAAAGTAACTTGGTGCATCTTGGCTTGCAACGCCAAGGTCACGGGTTCGATTCTCAGGGAAAGCAAGAACTGATAAGAATGTAAATGTGTACCTTGAAATGCAATGTAAGTTTCTTTGGATAAAAGCGTCTGCCAAATGCGTAAATGTAATTACCAATTGTATCAGTTACATCGTTACGCCAGTAGGTGGCGACGAGTGACTGTTAAAAAGTGTATTTGAATCATTAATCATTCAAAAACGCTGATTCATCCAGTAATGAAACAAATTAACTGCTTCATTCATTCAACCCCGAATAATTTTTTCATTTGAAATAGATTGCAGCAGTTAATATTTTGTCAGAACCTCCAGTAATTTACATGTTATTTTGTTTAGTTGTCTGAGAATCGTGATCTCTGTTTGAAACATTAAATTGTGATTCTCAATGGGCTCTATGCACGGCGGTATTTCCGGTGAAGGTCTAAGGATGCTGGATTACTTCCGCCGATCGTAGAGTCCAATGCTATACCGAGAATTTATATTGGTTTTTATACTCTATTGCTATACTAAAGAAACGTTAGTCACAAAAACAGACAAAACAGACACCCCTCATTTTGTTTATGCTTCTTTGTTTATTATATTAAATAAACATAACTATATATAAAATTACATCTAAACGTATTAAAGTTTCGTTTTAAAGACGAGAGGACAGTACATTTTGAAGACTCTGCCATAATCCCGTTTTCCTCGGTTTTCCTCCGCTTTAAATCTCCCCAACCGGAAACGCAAGAGCATCCTTGCGTCAAACGCGGAAGTTATGCGTGCATATAGCCCATTGATTTAGAGTCGTGCAGTCGTTTACCATACAGCCTATTGATTTTATAAATAGCTAATAATCAGTGTTTCAAACCAGTTATTGTCATTAACAAAATAAAAACTATTAAAAACATTTATGTTAATTTAAATAAAATAAATTTTAATAAGGATACGAAATAAAAATAATTATATTTTAGATAATCGCCAAGGCAACTTTTCTAAATTTTGTTTAAAAAAAGTTAAAATAACAAAAAAAAAACCTGAAACTAATAAATTCGATAAAATCTTTTATCATTATCATATTTTTTTTAATATTAAACTGAAAATAAAAACATATGGAGGTCCAAACCTGCAGAAAATAAGAGATAAATAAATAAATAAATAAATAAATAAATAAATGTATTTATAGGAAAATAAATAATTAAATAAATGACGTGATAAAACAAATACAATTTTATTTATTTATTTATTAAAGTTGCCGTCGGCAACATTTTTTTTGGATCATATTCAGTGAAATTGACACTATAATCTGACAGAACAACATAAATAAAGTGGTTTTAGAATTTTTTTTCCGAAATCCACTCAATCCGCCAGACTTGCCGACTGCAGCTTTAATTAAAAATATTTATTAATACGATATTTGTCATCCTAAAATAACTACTACAGACTTAACCAAAATAAAACATTATTTGCTGTATTTATGAGTCATTTTTAATATTGAGTATGTCTCCAGAAGAAGGTTTAGTCAGATCTAGGAATTTTAAATTAAATCCAAACGTAATATCTTTTTTATATTAGTAAATGACTTAATTCACATTTATTATGACATCCAACTGAAGCACAAGTGTATTATTCAGTTGTGAGTTGATAGCAGGCAATGATCCGAGCGAATGATCCAGTCACATGACTGTTTTTAATGCACATCTAGGATTTGGTTTGCTAGAGGTGTTCTCCGTGTGTCTGTCTCAGAGGGAGCTGGTTCAGTGTTTGGAGAAAGGCCTGATTTACCGATGCGCTAAGCAGTGTGTGGTGGCTCTGACCATGTGCACCGTGGAGATGCCTGACATCATGATCAAACTCCTGCCCGCCCTCATCGTCAAGCTCACACACATCTCTGCCACCGTGGCCATGGCGTCTCCCATGCTGGAGTTCCTGTCCAGTGAGCGCACGCCTTTCTTTCTAAATCCCTCCCATTCTCACCCGCTGACCAATCAGAAAAAAGTACAGTTTGTCTTTTTCCTCTTCAGCATTGGTGCGGCTCCCGCGTCTGTATGCTAACTTCGTAGCCGAGCAGTACGTTAGCGTGTTTGCTATATCCCTGCCGTACACCAACCCTTCAAAGTGAGTATCATCATACACAGATTTGACCAGATCCATGAGGGTCATTTATAACGTTACACATAATGTCCAATAAATGCTGTTCTTTGAACTTTCTGTTCATCCAAGAATCCTGAATAAAAGTGAATTAAACTGTTTTCAACATTGATACTAATTATAAATGTTTCTTAAGCATTGAATCATCATATTAAAGTGATTTCTGGAGGATCATGTGACACTGAAGACTGGAGTAATGATGCTGAAAATTCAGCTTTGATCACAGGAATAAATTACTTTTTAACATATATTAACATAGAAAACTATGGAAGTTTGTTTCCGCCACTGAATAAAAAAAAATAAAAAAAATAGTTGCGACTTTTTATCTCACAATTGCGAGATATGAAGTCAGAATTGCGAGAATAAAAGACAGAATTGCGACTTTTTATCTCACAATTCTGACTTTTTTTCTCACAATTGCGAGTTTATATCTCGAAATTCTGACTTTATAACACATAATTGCGAGTTTATATCTCAAAATTCTGACATCTTTTCTCAGAATTGTGAGAAATAAACTCGCAATTGCGAGTTATCAGGCCAATTGTAAGGGGAAAAAAGACCAACTTTTTTCCCCTCAAAATAGTTTATATCTCACAATTGTGACTTTATATCACGCAATTCTGACTTTATATCAATAAATTCTGAGTTTATATCTCGCATTTGCGATTTTATATCACGCAATTCTGACTTTATATCACGCAATTCTCACTTTATAACACGCAATTTCGACTTTATATCATGCAATTCTCACTTTATAACACGTAATTGCGACTTTATATCACGCAATTGCGACTTTATATCACGCAATACTGACTTTATATCTCGCAATTCTGACTTTATATCTCGCAATTCTGACTTTACAACACGCAATTTCGACTTTATATCTCGCAATTCTCACTTTATAACACGCAATTGCGACTATATCACGCAATTCTGACTTTACAACACGTAATTCTGACTTTATATCACGCAATTCTGACTTTACAACACGCAATTGTGACTATCACGCAATTCTGACTTTGTATCACGCAATTCTGACTTTATATCTCGCAATTCTGACTTTACAACACGCAATTTCGACTTTATATCAATAAATTCTGACTTTATATCACGCAATTCTGACTTTATATCAATAAATTCTGACTTTATATCACGCAATTGCGACTTTATATCACGCAATACTGACTTTATATCTCGCAATTCTGACTTTATATCTCGCAATTCTGACTTTACAACACGCAATTTCGACTTTATATCTCGCAATTCTCACTTTATAACACGCAATTGCGATTTAATATCACGCAATTCTGACTTTACAACACGCAATTGTGACTTTATATCACGCAATTCTGACTTTACAACACGCAATTGTGACTATCACGCAATTCTGACTTTGTATCACGCAATTCTGACTTTATATCTCGCAATTCTGACTTTACAACACGCAATTTCGACTTTATATCAATAAATTCTGACTTTATATCACGCAATTCTGACTTTATATCAATAAATTCTGACTTTATATCTCGCAATTGCGATTTTATATCACGCAATTCTGACTTTACAACACGCAATTGTGACTTTATACCACGCAATTCTGACTTTACAACACGCAATTTCGACTTTATATCTCGCAATTCTCACTTTATAACACGCAATTGCGACTATATCACGCAATTCTGACCTTATATCAATAAAATCTGACTATATCTCGCAATTGCGACTTTATATCACGCAATTCTGACTTTACAACACGCAATTTCGACTTTATATCTCGCAATTCTCACTTTATAACATGCAATTGCGACTATATCACGCAATTCTGACTTTATATCACGCAATTCTCACTTTATAACATGCAATTGCGACTATATCACGCAATTCTGACCTTATATCAATAAATTCTGACTATATCTCGCAATTTCGACTTTATATCTCGCAATTCTCACTTTATAACATGCAATTGCGACTATATCACGCAATTCTGACTTTACAACACGCAATTCTGACTTTATATCACGCAATTCTGACTTTATATCAATAAATTCTGACTTTATATCTCGCAATTGCGATTTAATATCACGCAATTCTGACTTTATATCACGCAATTCTGACTTTATATCAATAAATTCTGACTTTATATCTCGCAATTGCGATTTAATATCACGTAATTCTGACTTTACAACACGCAATTGCGACTTTATATCACGCAATTCTGACTTTACAACACGCAATTGTGACTATCACGCAATTCTGACTTCTTATCACGCAATTCTGACTTCTTAACACGCAATTCTGACTTCTTATCACGCAATTCTGACTTTATATCTCGCAATTCTGACTTTACAACACGCAATTTCGACTTTATATCAATAAATTCTGACTTTATATCACGCAATTCTGACTTTATATCTCGCAATTGCGATTTAATATCACGTAATTCTGACTTTACAACACGCAATTGCGACTTTATATCACGCAATTCTGACTTTACAACACGCAATTCTGACTTTACAACACGCAATTGTGACTATCACGCAATTCTGACTTTTATATCTCGCAATTCTGAGAAATAAAGTCAGAATTGCGAGATGTAAACTCGCAATTGTGAGAAAAGAAGTCAGAATTGTGAGATAGTCGCAATTACCTTTTTTATTTTTCATTCTGTGACGGAAACAAGCTTCCATAGAAAACAGCTATTTTAAAATGTAATAATATTTCACAATATTACTGATTTTACTGTATTTTTAATCAAATACATTCCGCCTCGGTGAGCGTTAGTGTGTTTTAAAGGCAGAATGACCTTAAACGACATATACTTGAGTAGTTCTCTTGTTTTTCTTCCATCCTCTGTAGGTTTAATCAGTACATCGTGTCTCTAGCGCATCATGTGATCGCCATGTGGTTCATCCGCTGCAGGCTGCCGTTCAGGAAAGACTTCGTGCAGTACATCACCAAGGTGGGTGGCGGGACTTCTGTGCTCATGCGTTCACAGTTTCAACGATCGGTTTGTGTTGACTGGTTGTTTTTGTGTCATTAGGGTCTCCGTTCAAACGCTCTTCTGCCGTTTGACGACACAAACGAGCAGAGCAGCTTCAGAGCGCGCAGCACCAGCCTGAACGAGAGACCCAAGAGGTACACACACACACACACACACTCACGATCATGTACGGCCACATCATGTCAGGTTTCGCCGCTGGACTCAGTCATTCAGGCGCCTCATTGGTTTATTTTTTGATGGCAGTGCCGTGGTTTTTGGCTTTATGTGTCCGATTACGCCACATGCGACTCACGGATGCTAGTCTGACTCGTCTCTTTTTTCTTTGTCTTTTCTTATCGGTTTCATTTCTTTCTCTCTGTTTCTCTATTTCTCTCATCATCTGTCGAAGTGGTGCCTATCACATCAAAACCATTAACGCATTCATTTATGAAAGAGTGTTTCTTCAACTGCGGACGCTTTATGTCCCAGGTTACATGAAGGTCACATTAAAACTGTTCTGGAGTTGCAATACTTTTTAGTTTTGATACTTTTCAACGGCCTTTTATGCAATTCAATCTTAAAATAAAAAATCATAAAAACAATCTAAGCAAAGATATATATATATATATATATATATATATATATATACACACATGTGTGTGTGTGTGTATATATATATATATATATATACACATACACATACAGTATGTGTGTGTATATATATATATATATATATATATATATATATATATATATAAAAATTATATGTATTTTTTAAATAATTATATATATTTTTTATTTTATAAAAAATAAAAAATACCTTAAATAATAATTAAATTTTTTGGAAAAGACACTGATCAAGCACATATATATATATATATGTGCACATACAGTATGTGTGTGTATATATATATATATATATATATATATATATATATATATAAAAAAAAATATATGTATTTTTTAAATAATTATATATATTTTTTATTTTATAAAAAATACCTTAAATAATAATAATTTTTTTGGGAAAAGACACTGATCAAGCACATATATATATATATATGTGCTTGATCAGTGTCTTTTCCAAAAATGTTAATTATTATTTAAGGTTTTTTTTATTTTTTTATTTACATATAAACTAAATTTTGATGTAAGGCTGCATAAAACGCTGTCTATGATTTTTGGTCATTTTATTCCAAAAAAATATAAATCATTACATTTCTAACACAGAAAGATGATGTGATGGAAATATTTGTGACAGTTCATGAAAGAAGTGTGTTTATACAATGTTGGACGTTGTTAGTAGGTTCATTAAATTAGTAAGTTTAAAAAGTTTGTGTTAATGGAGTTTAATTTCTAAAAGGACTTAAAATGGCCATAGTTGAAGAAACACCTGAATATAAAGGACACACAGCTCTAAATCTTGTGTTGATGTTTAATGAGCCATCCTGTAATACTCTGGTCAGAACAACTAGTCATGTGATGTCTAACAAAGAGACCCATAAACTAGAGGTTAACAGTCCCGCCTACTAACGTGTGGATTTGAACTGAATCCTATTCATATTATTTTTTACATTAATCAGACTCTTTTCTACTTTATTCATTCTCTGTCTCCCCTTTTCTTCATTTAAAAACCGAAAGTATCTCATAAACCATTTTAATTTGACAGGAAATTTCCATGGTAATGACTTAATAAACCATTGTAACCAGGTTTATCACTAATAAAGTCCATGATCAACTATATCCAGAGCCACAAAACCATCTAATCTCACTGTCATGACAAATTCCAGGTTCATTTTCAGTGTTTTTATTGTTTTCCTGTCCTGTGTCTTGTCCTGACGCTTAAGCTGGAACTTTGAATACAAGCCTGAAAGAGAGAAGGATATTCAGATATGAATGAGAACTTGATCATATTATGATTATATAGGATTCATGGTAACACAATAACCTGATTACCATCACCAGATTTAGACCGTATTATAGTCTCTATACATTTCTGTAAATATAATAATACTTTTGATTGTATTAATCAGACTTTTGGGTCATGTTAGAGTCTTATTCAGAATATCAATCATAACTGAACATTTGTTTATATATGTACATGTTCACATAAAGGTAATTCTGGGTGAAAAATGTAACTATTGATGAGATATTTTCGAGTGAGGAGGAGATTTTTTTTATTACTTGCATTTTTCAAACATCATAACCTACATTTTGTTAATAACATGAATAAGCATAATTCAATAGTCGCTAAAAGTACTGCACAAAATTACTTTAATGTAGTGTAATAAATTAAAAGATTTCAAAATTTACTGCTTACATTGTGTGATTGCGTTTTGATAAAAAGCAAATAATTACATTTTAAAAAAGGCAAATTAAATAAATAACTTTCAAATAAATCATATAAAAATAAAACGCTTACTAAAAAGATTCAATATTTTATTCGTTTACCGGCATCAGAGAACTGTGAAAATGCATATGCGATGTTAAATTATTGATTACTGAAAATGATGTGCATGTAAATGAATTTCAAAAATATATGTTCAAATGCCAGGCTTCACATTCTCCATTCCAGCTTCTAGTTTAACTTCATCCCGTCATTCATCTGTGTGTTTATTTGCTGTATTAATTCACACACATACACATGATCATATCACTGTTTTCCTATTGCTATTAATTTCCAGTATAATGATCATTGCAGTGTCTTGAGTGCTTTTTTCTTCCCCTGTACCAGTATGTTTGTGCTCTCTGATGAGTTTATCCTTTGTGTTCTCCAACTCTTTCATTCCTTTGGTAGAATGCTGACAGTATATTGCTTACTTTATGCCTTGTCATGTGTCTGTTGATCTTTTATATGCTGTCTTTCCTTCCAGTTTTCTGTTTCCTCCTCTGTTATTGTTTCGTTTTTTTAAATGTCGTCCCTGTTTTCCGGTTCTCAGTGTGCACTGCTGACCAAGTTACCTTTTGTTTTCCTTTCACTTCCTTATTTGACCCCTCCCCCCTCCTCTCTGATTGGGTGTGGTTTGGGGGGGTGCCGACACTTCGGATCCGTCACCTGTGATTGGTCGCTGGCCCCTTTCGTGACACTCCACAACCAATCGCACTCCCCCATCCACCCATGCCGACGTGGTTAAAAAATATTCCCCAAATTCCCCCCCACTCTCCCTGGTCACGACCTTACCCTGACGCACACCTGACCTCGTTTGCCCTCGGGGCAGTTTGCGGACGACCAAAGTGGCGAAGCAAGGCCCCAGCGCAAACTCTCCCGTTAAAGACCTGAAAGATCTGTCGGCTATGGACGCCTTCCGCTCCCGAAGCATCAGTGTGTCCGAGCATGCGGTGCGCAGGTAGAGCATTTTTGGTAACATCAGCAACCGATTTATATCCCTACTTTTCCTTTTCTGTATGCAGGGACGGTGGGCGGGGCTTGGGCATTGGGGGCGGGCGATGCGGGCTGGGCGTGGACATCTGGTTTGGGCTAATTCTGATTGGGCAGGAAAGGGTGCATGCTGGAGGAGGGTTTTGTCTTTTTCTTTCGTGTCATTGGTGGTAACGTTGACTGCATGCGCTGAGCCTGGCCACTGACTTGCGTGCGCCTGTTTTGATTTGAACCTAACCCCGTTTTGTATTTGCTTTTACCGTGCTTTATTGTGCTGTTTGTGATGGTGTTCATTCGAATGTTGTTGTTTTTTTAAATCATGAACTAATGGTGGTATTACGGAGGCCCTAAAGGGATATGATGATGAGAAGAAAAAAATGAAATGAGAGGAAAAGTGATATTTCAATGCTTTTGCAATATTTCGCAAAACTTTTGCGTTCGCCCGAGAAGCTTCGCGTTTACTCTCAAAACGTTTGTTTTCCATCAAGAAAAGTTGCATTCACACACGAAATGTTTTGTTCTCTCGCAAACTTTTTCGTTCCCCTGAGAAAATTTGCGTTAAAATTTTTACTTTTTTACGCAAAACTTTTACGTTTACTCGCAAAACGTTTGTGTTGCCCCGACAAACTTTGGTATTCACTCACAAAGCATTAACCTCACAAAAACTTTTACGTTCTCTCGCAAAACTTTGCGTTTCTTTGCAGAAACTTTGCGTTCAATCGCAAAACTTTTAATTTCTAGCGCAAAACTTTTGTGTTCGCCCGAGAAGCTTCGCATTTACTCTCAAAACTTTTGCTTTCAATCAAGAAAAGTTGCATTCACTCACGAAATGTTTTGTTCTCTTGCAAACTTTTTCGTTCCCCTAAGAAACTATGCGTTCAATCGCAAAACTTTTACGTTTTGACGCAAAACTTTTACTTTCTCTTGCAAAACTTTTGTGTTCCCCTGACAAAGTTTGGTATTCACTCACAAATCATTAACCTCACAAAAACTTTTACGTTCTCTCGCAAAACTTTGCGCTTTGTGGTTGCGTTTTGCGTTCCCTTGAGAAACCTTGGTTTTTGCTCGCAAAAACTTTTGTGTTCCACCAAGAAAAGTTGCATTCACTCACAAATAATTTGTGATGAAAATAATACGAGGTGGGAGTAAGATCTACGTATATTTCAGCGTTTTTATGTTCTCTCGCAAAACTTTGCGTTTCTTTGCAGAAACTTTGCTTTCTTTGCAGAAACTTTGCTTTCTTTGCAGAAACTTTGCGTTTCTTTGCAGAAACTTTGCGTTCAATCCCAAAACTTTTACGTTGTAGCGCAAAACTTTTGTGTTCGCCCAAGAAGCTTCGCGTTTACTCTCGAAACTTTTACGCTCTCTTGCAAATCTTTTGTGTTGCCCTGAGAAACTTTGCGCTCGATCTCAAAACTTTTACTTTCTCGCGGAAAACTTTTGCGTTCGACCGAGAAGCTTCACGTTTACTCACAAAAAATGTTACGCTCTCTAGCAAAACCTTTGCGTTCCACTGAGAAAATTTGCGCTAATTCGCAAAACGTTTGTGATGGAAATAATACGAGTTGAGAGGAAAAACTCTTTTGCTAGTGAACGCAGTTTTTCGGGGAACACAGTATTTCTGTGAGACGATGCAAAAGTTTTGCGAGCGAGCGCACAAGCATTGAAATGTAGCATTTCTTCCACAACTGTTTTTTTCCCCCCTTCTCCATGTCCCTTCAAGGGCTCCGTACTGTACACAGGAAGCATGTGATATTGAAAAAGCGAAACTAGGCGGACAGTCACACAATCTAGCGTCAAGCTTTTCTGTCTTTGCTGTTTGTTGAACGAAATGAACAGCAGAAATTCAGCTCCCAAACACTAGGGGGCGCACTCAACTTTCTCAGCCTGCCGCCTGTTTTAACCTTCACTTATTCACATCATATTATTCACACTCACTTTACACATGATCCAGGTAAGTATCCATCCATGCTTCATCAAAGTGCATTTTGAACCATGAACATAGTGCAAAAACGCTGCAAACACACTGAAAATGCTCACTGCAAATGCTGTTCCTCCATGGTTTTTTTTTTCACCCAATTTAAAAAGAAAAAAAAAGTATTTTTCAGCACTTATGGAAATTCTGTTATCTACTCACCTCGTGTCATTTCAAACCCATATGAAACACATTTGTGTTTTTTCCACTCAACACACTTCATTTTCATTCACATACATTTAAATATGAAGTCTGATCTCCATGTGCTCCTGCTACTCAATAACTCATTAACACACAACCAGCAGAGGGCAGCGTAGCATCAGACGAGATGCAATAGAGAGAGACTCGCAGTAACGTGTGTGTTTTATTAACCCAGTGCATCTAATTACCATAAAATCTATTACTTAGTTCAGTGTCTACAAGTTAAAGGATGGTTGGAGAATAGAAAGTCCTTTATTAGCAAGCACAGGGATTTCATACGGCATATTAGTTTATTATCTAGATTACCCTGTCATTGCTTTACTAAGTATTTCTGTGCCAAGGGGTTTTGTGTTTGGATCATTCCAAGGTTGCTCTTTATGATTTAATGACATTTTTGGGCGAGCTAATTATCCTGGAATGGATTTAAATCACAAGCCTGAGTTGAAAGTCAACATGAAGAAAATGTACCGCTTTGGTTTTACATTTCTTTTACGTGGCATAAATCAACTGGGAAATGAAACTTTTTCTGTTTTCCCCTCTAAATGAATCAAATATTAATTGCTCACTAGATATCCAGTGAAGAAATGAATATGCTCTGAACGCATTTATATTCAGCGGCGTCATCGCTTAATGCATCAATAGAGTAAAATTATTATTATCATCTACTCCACACTCATCAACAATCATCCGACTGCCGCTAATAGAGATGATGGAGGGGCTTGATGAACAGTGAAATGTTTTCAGTGTGTGACACAGCAGTGAAAAGATGTTTATGTTGGAATTTGTGCCTTTTGGAAAAGATCGACTTGCTTAGAGAATATCATGATATCAAAGCAAGGGTTTGATATTATGATCAGCTGGACTGGACGCCCACGATCCAGAGACTTTCATGAAGCTAAGATACATTTGACAGGTTCTTTTCTTGGTTTTATTTGAGTTTTCTTAATCTGGAAAATGCATGCATTTACTGTGCAAACACACAGATATGCTGATAATCTGGACATTAAAGCATTGTAGTTCAACTCTGAGATGAGGCGTCCACTTCAGCTGGACACAAACTGGGACTCTCTCTCTCTCTCTCTCTCTCTGTGTGTGTGTGTGTTTGTGTGTACATGTTTTTGTGTGTACATGACTCATGGGGACTCGTGTCACTGTGGGGACCTAAATTAAGGTCCCCATGGGTAAACGCGCTTATAAATCATACAGAATTATTATTTTTTAAATGTAAAAATGCTAAATGTTTCCTGTGATGGGCAGCTTTAGGGATAGGGTTAGTGTGCGTGTGTGTGTGTGTGTGTGATGGGCAGGTTTAGGGATAGGGTTAGTGTGTGTGTGTGATGGGCAGGTTTAGGGATAGGGTTAGTGTGTGTGTGTGTGTGTGTGTGTGTGTGTGTGATGGGCAGGTTTAGGGATAGGGTTAGTGTGTGTGTGTGTGTGTGATGGGCAGGTTTAGGGGTAGGGTTAGTGTGTGTGTGTGTGTGTGTGTGTGTGATGGGCAGGTTTAGGGGTAGGGTTAGTGTGTGTGTGTGTGATGGGCAGGTTTAGGGGTAGGGTTAGTGTGTGTGTGTGTGTGTGTGTGTGTGTGTGTGTGTGTGTGTGTGTGTGTGTGTGTGTGTGTGATGGGCAGGTTTAGGGGTAGGGTTAGTGTGTGTGTGTGTGTGATGGGCAGGTTTAGGGGTAGGGTTAGTGTGTGTGTGTGTGATGGGCAGGTTTAGGGGTAGGGTTAGTGTGTGTGTGTGTGTGTGTGATGGGCAGGTTTAGGGGTAGGGTTAGTGTGTGTGTGTGTGTGTGTGTGTGTGTGTGATGGGCAGGTTTAGGGATAGGGTTAGTGTAAGGGGATAAAATATACAGTTTGTACAGTATAAAAACCATTACGTCTATGGAGAGTCCCCACAAAGATAGTAAACCAGATGTGTGTTTGTGTGTGTGTTGGATGAGCCTGTTTATGGACGCTCCAGTGATTTGCTATGGTGCGCTGGTTAAGGCTCAGGACGGGCACACCAGAAGGTTGTTGGATCGATTCCGGTGAGGAAAAAGTCAATTGTGCCCTTGAGCAAAAGCACCGAAGGAATGCTCTAGATTCAGCGTTATCTTTTATCCACAGCATTTGCCAATTACTACGGAAAACAGCGTTGACCCTTCCATCAGGTTGTGTTTGTTGACATTAACACATTTATAGTGGAAGTAAACAGGGGTCGTTCACTTTTAGGGCTTAAATACTTGATTTTTTTTAAATTTTCTGTACAAAAAATGTTGCTATTTAAGCTGGAAACTGTGTAAAGTATCACGCTAAAGTTATTGTTTAGTGGTTTTACGTGGTCGTGACAAGGAAAGTAAGTGATTCCAGCACACTGATCTCATGTTGAAATAAATATTAAGTCTTTATTGCCTTAAATGTATCACTTTTCCCTGTTTACTTCTATTGTACGTGCATTACAGTAACCGTGAAAAGCTGATTTAAAGCCTCCGTCCTTCATGAAATTAGTTCAGTTGCCTAAAAATGTGCATTTCTTTTGCTGGAAATTACCTTTAAAAATGTGCAGTTAAGTTTGATATAAAATTATGTATTCATTTATTTTAGAGAATTATTTGAAATAAATATATATATACACTACCGTTCAAAAGTTTGGGGTCAGTGAGAATTTTATTTTTATTTTTTGGAGGAAAGAAATCAATACTTTTATTTATCAAGGAATAATTAATTTGATCGAAAGTGACAGTAAAGACATTTATAATGTTACAAAAGTCTTTTGAACTTCCTATTCATCAAAGAATCCTAAAAAAAAAAACTGTACAACTGACAGACCAACAACTATTTCAACATTGATAATAATAATAAATGTTTCTTGAGCATCAAATCCTCATATTATACTGATTTGTGAAGGATCATTTGACACTGAAGACACTGACACTGGTGATGCTGAAAATTCAGCTTTGATCACAGGAATAAATTACACTTTACTATATATTCACACAGAAAACAGCTGATTTACACTGGAATAATATTTAATACTATAACTGATTTTTGTTGTATTTTTAATCAAATAAGCGCAGCCATGGTTAGCAGAAGATAATTCTTTTAAAAGCATTTAAAATCGTACCGACCCCAAACTTTTGAACGGTAGTATATATATATACTCACACACACACACACACACATACACACACAAGTAAATACAAATATTTTATACTTAAAATAATTAGAATGTGTATATATAATTTACTTATTAAGATATAATTATTATTTACTTATAAAACAATAATATAAAATAATTAAAATAATATATACATATATATGTAGTAAATACAAATATTTTATATTTAAAATAATTAATGTTATTGACTAAATCAAAATATAATTATAACTTACTTTATAATCAAATAAAAAATGTGTATGTATATTTTACTTTATATTAAAATATAATTATTTACTTTATAATCTAATAAAGACAATTTATTAAAGACAATGTAAATGCAAAATAAATAAAAAACATAAAAGCTATTTTTAAAATAAATGTATTTAATATTTTGTTGTTTTAAATGTTTTTCGTTTCTGTCTTTGTATATATATATATATATTATTTTAATTATTTTATATTATTTTATATTTTAAATAATTAAAATGTTATTGACTAAATCAAAGTATAATTATTACTTACTTTATAATCAAATAAAAAATGTGTATGTATATTTTACTTTATATTAAAATATAATTATTTACTTTATAATCTAATAAAGACAATTTATTAAAGACAATGGAAATGCAAAATAAATAAAAAACACAATTTTTAAAAATAAATGTATATATTTTGCTGTTTTAAATGTTTTTGTTGTTGTTGCTAATGCTGTCTTTGTTGAATAGGATAGTGTAGATGAGAGATTTCCTTGCACACCAGAGATGATCTGCGTCACAGCCTTATCCGTGTGCAATATTGACCTTCAAGTCCAGGTTGCTGAAGGTGAAGTTCGCGCTGTCGTTCTGTGGCGTGTCCGTATCGTTCTCCAGATACAGAATATAGTTTTTATTTTGATAGACATTCTGTTGGTTTATGTTGGTGGGTGACATCAGATGACGCAGGTCACGCAGAAACTCCTTTATTATGTCGAGCGTGTTTGTCGTCTCTGACGCCCACATGGACTCGTATCCCTCCTTTCTCGCCTCGTTCCCTGTTGAGATGCAATGAAAATGGCCTTTTGTTGATTACATGCGTAGACTCGTGCGCAGCGCCAGAGATGTGTAAGTGTCATCATGACTCAGGCTTGTTGTAGGTGGTTGTGAAGGTGTTGCTATAGGAGGCTGTTCTGGATGGTGTCATTTTGTGCAGTTACTAAGGAAATCTCTAGATGATTCTTCCTCATGCGTCTCATCACACATTAGAGTGGATCTAATACATGAGGAAAACGTCGTCACTTGCTTTATCACTTAGTACAAGTACCGGCACACGTCTCCTTAACCAGATGTCTGGAGCTTAGGTTGCTTGTTGGTGATAAATGGCTGCTGTTTACTCCTCGCCAGTATTGACACACACACACACACACACACACACACGTCAAGTTTGTGATTTCCGGATGAGTTGTTCACCTGTTCCTGATGTAAAAGTCAAAAGCGCTTTAGCTCAAAGGTGTGCCGTGTGTGTCGTCGTGTATGGAGATGATTTGGACTCGGTTGATTTCCCCTGGGATGCGGTTGCCGTGGTTACAGAAAGGCAGGATGCTGATGGCGGTCTTAGATTAATGTGATCATCTAGATAATCACACGACTGTGTGTGTGTGTGGCAGCTGAACGTGTCTGGTGTGGTTTTGTCTGGCTATGCCCTCTCTCTCTCTCTCTCTCTCTCTCTCTCTCTCTCTCTCTCTCTCTCTCTCTCTCTCTCTCTCTCTCTCTCTCTCTCTCTCTCTCTCTCTCTCTCTCTCTTGCTCAAAGTTTGTCCCTTTTACAGACCCAGTTTTGTGTCGCTTTAGAGAGAAATGGAAAGGACTTCAACTAAACAAAATGAATAAAGGAATCGTTCACCCAAAAATTAAAATTCTTTAAAAAAGGAATGCTTATTAAAAAAAACACAACACGATTGGTCAATGCACAATGGTGTAAAGCGCGAATGAGAGTTACAGTGAATAATTACTTAAATTTGGGTCTGTTCCTTGCAAAAAAATCCATATATACCTTCTAAAGACTTTGAATATAGTGCACGAGTCATATGGGACACTTTTAGGAAACTTTAACCGTTTGAAGCTCATTTTTTGGTTCTAGTCAAGAAATAAAGTCATGTGGTTTGAGAGTGAAAGTGTTATTTTAGTATTATTTACTATAGTATTTTAGTATTAACATTTTGAATGAGCTTTTATTTTTATACTTTCAGTTTTCATTTTAAGTTTAAATAAAGTTTTAGTAATTATGTTCGATGCGATTAATCAATTTGACCGCACAAATTTCTATATAAATCTATTTTTATATCAGTTTTATTTTTTAATCGAATTTTTAGTTCTTTAGCTTAAAATCATTTTATTTCAGTTAGTTGCCATGGCAACATTTCTAATTTTAAATTGGAATTTTTCACTTACATATATTAGTTTCAATTAACGATTGAAATAAAATGACTCTTATTATTCTCAGGTTTAGACACTGCCGAGTGAGTACTTTTTTTGGGTGAACTATTCCTTTAAGCAAAGATGAACAAACATAATGTCTCTAATTTGATTCATGGAGTGTGAGTCTTTGTTTTTTAACTGCATGTGTGTGTGTGTGTGTGTTTTCAGTGGGTCACTCCAGCTTCAATCATCATCTGAATCTGATTCATTACCCGCAGACTCTGACTCTCTGGCTTCACACGGTGTCCTAAACAGCCGTGACTCCATTTGCAATCATGACAAGCAAAAAAAGACTGTGTGATGTCATAATCGGAATCAAGGGAATCAGAACTGGAATCAGTTAGTTGTTGAACATTCCGCTGGCATCATGTCTGGTTAGGACACTGTGTTAGAGAATGAGCAATGACTTCACATGCACCAGAATCTGACCTCTGACCCCTGATGCCTGTGTGTGACCCCTGACCCCCGTCCTGTGCAGGATGCAGACGTCCACCACCACCTGCAGCCTGGGCTCGGCCGACGAGAACGCAGTGATGCAGGCAGACGACGCGCTGAAGACGGTCCACCTGGAGCTGACCGAGACCTGCCTGGACATGATGGCCCGATACGTCTTCTCCAACTTCTCTGCGCTGCCCAAGAGGTGCCCAGCTGGACTTACAATCACCTGACACTCACAGCACTAATTTAACCACATTCGTTTTAGTATTTATCAGGGGAATTAATCACAATTCAATGCGTCAATATTTGCAATGAATATCAGTGTTTGATGAGAAACGCCATTAAGGCGAGACACGGCAGGCAAAAACATCGTTTTTTTTGCACTGGTCAATTTTGAGATTTCGGGATATTTGTCTTCAAAAACATGTCTTCTTTCAGACTTGTGGTGAAAAAAAGTCTGAAATACACATTTAGGTCTTTATTTTACTACACTTTGTCTGTTTGCGTCTGTAGATTTCTCATAAATTCATCAAAAGTTGGCGATGTAAATCATCCGTTGCTCCGCTATCGCTGTCTGCACCCTGTCATCACACACACTGTTAGAAAGCTCTCTCTCTCTCCTGTACAATGTTGTCGGATCCAAATATGGTCATTTCCTTTTTATCAGCAACCAATCGTGAAAGTAAAAGGGTGCAAATGCGCAATCTCATTGGCTGATGCTAAATCTTTAAAGCCCGTTTTCTCAAAATGACCTTTCTCTCATTCTCAAAGTCCGAAATCTCCACTTCGGTAGCACCTATATACACCAAACTTTCCAGTCTTGTACCTAGTTATATTATGAAGACATTTACCGAGGGATTTGTAAATATATTATTCCTAGCCCGATTTATATAACATTTTATTCCAAAAAACATGGCAAAAATCATTTTTTTAAGGCTATTGACAGTATATTCTGATTTACAGGATAACAAAAGTAGATATCCATAAATCCCTCTGTAATTTTTTTCCCATCTAATATGTGAACACAATGAAAAAATAATTTTGAACCTGGCTTTATCCAATACTCAGATTTCATTTTTTGAAATATATGCAAATTTGTGCATATTTAATTAGACAATGCCTAATTTGCATATTTAAACATTAAATTACAGAAAAATTGTAATACATTTTTTCTCATCTTAATGTAGGTAATCAACTGGGAAAGTTTCATGGTGATATCTGCTAGTTAAAAAAATTACCCAATTCACCTGTAGTGTCTCGCCTTAATTAAGTGAAGATAATTAAATGTGTTACATTCTCATGTTAGATGAAAGTGTGGAATAAGGCATGAGTAAATCGTGTTTTTTTTTTATCGTGTGTATATATTATATTATATATTATATTATTCTATATTAATTATATATGTTTTTTAAATAATATAATGCATATATAATATTTTAAATAATAATAAAAAATGCACTAAATTAACACATCAAATTAAGTAACTATTACGGTATCTAATTGTAAATTTTGTTTTATCAGGTTTAATCAAGATTTTTTTTAAAAATAAATTAATAATAATAATTTCCCTAATTAATTTCCTATTTCCCTAAACTGAAACTGATTAACTGTTAATTTTCTAGCACTTTTTAAAAACATTTAATTAAAATGTAATGCATAATAATAATAATAGTGTTAATAATAATTGCTCAACTTTAAACTGACACATTCAGTAGTTGTTCATTTTTATTGTGTTTAAAATAAATAAAATAAAAGGAGAAATATGTATCTACCTTAAACTTAAATAATGAATTATTGTGAACATTCGTTTAAAATATATGTTAAAAATATTAAAAACAAACTGAAACAATAACATTTTAATTTTAATTTCTTGAAGTCAGTATTCATGTTTGTATGGCAAGAAAATCTCATTGGCCAATAAAGTATAATCTTTTATCTCATGCATCAATGCACCAAAAGCTATTTTACCGTCTGACTTTAAACGAAAGGAATTGTTTCAAAGTGAGTTACAAATGAATGAAATCACAAAGTGTCTGCTTAATGAACGAATGCATTGAAGATGCACACAGAGCTGCTGCTGTTTCTTCTTCTTTTGTTTTAGGTTATTTCACACACTTTTAGGTAGAGCTGTAATTGCTTGACCTTCATCCTTTTGTTCGCTTTCTATTTGCAAACCTTCAAATAATATTAGTTTTTCATCTCTGCCGAAGCAGCCCGGCTGAACGCGGCATTGATCCACCTTTTGTTCCAGAGCAAACTTATTTCTCAGTCAGTCTTGCAATAGTTGTTTTGCTCTCTATGTGAATATTCAAATAAACCGACATCCTCATTCGGCCGGTTGTTGTGGAAAGTGTAGCATCTACTTTTAGCGTGAGAACAGCAAACTCTTGTCATAGATGAATGTGTTTTTCTCACAATAGCATCTCCAGTGTCTTGTGGCCGCGTGTGACGCTAAATAAAGATGAGTTATCGACTTCATAAACTCTCTCTCTCAGGTCTCCCATTGCCGAGTTCCTGTTATCCGGTGGACCCAGTATGACTTGGCTGGTTGGGAATAAGTTAGTCACTATAACAACCAGTGGCGGCTCGCGAACCCAAGCGCTTCTCGGTCTGGACATGGCAGAGAGACCCGGAGGAGGAGAAATGACCAGGTTACAAACATTTAACTCTTTCCCAGCCAGCGGTTTAAAAAAAAAAAAAAGTTGCCAGCCACCGCCAGCGTTTTATTGATAATTTTTACACAATTTTCATGGCCCCCAGAATATTTTGTTGGATGTATCAGTGGTTCCCAACCTTTTTTTGTCTGAGACCCCCTTTTTCCCATGAAAATATTTTAGGGCCCCCCTTCACATTTAATGATATTATCGCTCTTGTAAGCTTGCAGCAAGGATGACAAAATATGTTTTTTTCAAACAAACGGTATGTTTATGCATAAATAATAGCCTATAATATTGAAAATACAATAACTAAAACATCAGTAGGCCCTTTGTAATTTAAAAACGTAAGCCTGGGAGAAGCCTATAAATTGGCCCTATTTGAAATGCAAAAACAAAAATATTCACACTGGTGTGTAGGTAAAAAAAAAAGAAAGAATATAGGCTATTACTAAATGACTGTTGTCTGGGGCCTCAATACTTGCATGTTATTTGTGAGGCTTTATCAATGTGAGGCTTTATTTTTTACGCTTTTGGCGCTATAGCGAGCGATAATAAACTTGCATTTATTAACAGAATAATGCGTCTTTCGGAAGAACATTGTAGCCGGAACTACATCTCTCTGTGTACGTCTCGGTACGTCACTAGCTATGTTTCCATCCACACGTTTTTTATCCGCATTAAGTGATATCGAATAGGGCTGGGCAACGATTAATCGCGATTAATCGCATCCAAAATAAAAGTTTTTTTTTACATAATATATGTGTGTGTGTAGTGTGTGTAATTATTTTGTATATATAAATACACACACATGCATGTATATATTTAAGAAAAATGTGTTATTAATATATCAAATATTTATATTTATATTAGGGCTGTCAAATGATTAATCGTGATTAATCACATCCAAAATAAAAGTTTTTTTTACATAATATATGTGGGTGCACTGTGTATCATTATTTTGTATATATATAAATACACACACATATGCATGTATATTTAAGAAAAAAATATTATTTATATATAAAATATTTATATATGTGATTAATCACGATTAATCATTTGACAGCCCTAATTTATATATAATATTAATTAAAATTAAATATATAATTAAATATATAAAGTATATACATGCAAATATTTCTTAAATATATACATGCATGTGTGTGTATTTATATATACAAAATAATTATACACACATATATTATGTAAACACAAACTTTTATTTTGGATGTGATTAATCGCAATCGTTGCCCAGCCCTAATATCGAATGAAAAATGCCTTATGGAAACAGTAAAATTCGATTGAATTTCATGAATATCGACTCAAATGAAATACGATCGGTCTCATCGGATTTTATCTCGATCGATATACGGCTTATGCGATAAACGCGGATGGAAACGTTATTATGGTGCGATCCATTTTGCCTAGTAAAACTTTGTTCGCAAATGTTGGCTTGAATGTTGTGCAATTCGGTGAGAAATTGAATGGAAACACCTTAACATGTCTCAAATCAATTCGATATACCATTTTGATGGCAAAACAGCATGTGACGTCATTACGCACAGGTTTTTATCCGCTTTAAAGCCGTTTGATGGAAACACACTTTCACCAGCTTTATTCGCATGAGGTTTTTTACCGAACTTCAGATAATTCGATTGACAAGTGGATGGAAACATGGCTTATGACGAGTCACGCAGGTACTGGGCTACTCCGCACCGAACCAGTGTAAAATAGTCCCAATGTAAACACTTATTATAGGTGTACCATAGTGCTTCAGGATAAGACAAAAACACGGATTGGAAAATGGATTCATGATGAACTCGCTCATTATATACATTTTGTAAATTTTGAACAGAAAAAAAGTTAATGACTTTTATTTAATGCTCATTGCTCAAAGCTTTTCAAAATATGACGCGACCCCCCACAGAGCTCGCTGTGGGCCCCGACCCCCCTGTTGGGAACCGATGGGATGTATCTCTGAACATGCAATATATAAAAAGAAACAACTCTGCTTTTAAACTAAAAAAAAAAAATTTATTCTAGCTTCATGCAATCTTTTTTTTATCAACTCTTGAATGTGGGTAAGTTTTATTAAAAAAAAGTAAAATTTTGAGAAAATCTGAGAAAATCACGTTTTTACATCCAGATCAGATTCAGAACGATGATGAAAACACAGATGGAGTAGATCGAATCCCCGACACCCCGAAGCTTCACAGTCCTGCAGCTCGTCTGGGTCGACATTCATTCAGTAACATTAGGCAGTTTTGATTTATATTCTGTTTAATGTTGATTATCACGTTATTTTTCATATGCATATGATTACATATGAGATCGCTCGTTTTTTGCATCTTCTTTGCACGTGTTTTGATCAGGAGATTCAGTTCTCTTTCAGAGGACGTGTAATAGCGCCCCCTACCGTATAAGCCGGAAATATCCGTCAATGGCAGGGAAAGAGTTAAACACAAAAGACCTTGTTTGCCACAAGTTGTTTCGACACAGGAAAAGCAATAGCCTCATATGACAGTGTTTACTGGTCTGAGTCTCGTATAGAGAGAGTCTAAAGATGGGAATGTGAGTGGAAAATATAAAAACATATCCATGTATGAATGTTCTGCAGGTCGGACCCGTCTCTTCACACGCGGCAGACGAAAGAGGCTCCGGCTATACTAGAGTCACAGTCCGGCCAGCAGATCAACACCAACACTCGCACACGAGTCCGCTCCATATCAGGTGCCAATGTTCATATCCTCTCCATCCAATCAAATGGGCCATATCCCTTATGCTGTTCTTTTTTTTTTTTAAGGTTTTCTTGCTCCAAAGAGTT